ATTATCAATTATAAAATTAATTTCTTTTTTTTTTGTCCACATTTCATATTTGTTTCTTACCTTCATCAATAGATACATCATTAAATCTAACTCCTTTTGTATTGTCTATTTGTTTCGGTGGTAAATAAAAATAACAAGAACCATTATAAAAAAAACTTCTTGGTGGACACACTAAACAAAAAAAATATATATATTATAATTCTATATAAATAAAAAAGAAATTTATACTAATAGCGAGATTATCGATTTTTTTAATAGCATCTTTAATTGCTTGTTTAAATTCTTGAAAAATAAAATATCAATAAATAATAATCTTTAATCAAATATAGATATACAAGAAAGACATACGTATGCTTAATTCTCTTGTATCTCCTTCGTCAGATGCAATATTGAATGCAATAATATGATGATGCAATAAACAAAGAATGATCAAAACACTTGCCAACATAGTTAATCTAAAAAAGAAAACAAAGCAACAGTAATCATTTATACAAAAAAGTTTTAAAAAAAATACATTTTTCTTAAAATAATAGAAGACATTATCAATTCATTGGCTTCATCATTACTCAACAGACAGACATTGTAATGTCTATCTCATTCATTCGGCATTATCAGTCTTCTTCTTTAAAAAAAAAAAAAAAAAGAAAAGATAATAAATCCTAGTGATGCATCGATTGTTTATATTATTAGACAGAATTCAACTTTATCATATATTGACTGATGAACATAGAAAAATAAAATCCATTCATTTCATTTATTTTTCAAAATATGTTTATCATATGAACATCTATACACTAAGCATATTCTATTTTGCATAAAATTCTTTATTCAAGGTAGCAATATGTTAATCATTATGATACAAACCATCTAACTTAAGTCATTACTATTTGTAAACGAATAACAACATAACTATTCTTCATTAACATATACAAGTGTCTCTCAAACATTTTTTTTCTCTCTTGCGATATGTAATAAATTAATATAAAACAACAATGAAAATGATCATTATAAACAATGCGACATTTAACACACGACTCATCTATTATCCTATTGTCGAAATTAATTAACTTACAAAAAATGAAGATAAACGACTGTTCAATCCGATAATAACTAGTTTTGATCGACAAAAGAAATTTTAACTGCGTGCATGATAATAAAAAGTGAGAGAGAAAGTAAAAATTACATACATAAATATGAAAATTAATCTTTATAACAAGGTAATTCTATTGAACATAGAACTTTTATTTTTCTTTTGTTCAATTTGATTCCGTTGTCTAGCATAAGATCAAATTTTTAGTATAAAAGAAAAAAAATCTCTTTCCTACATGTGCATATAAAAATAACGAACACAAAAAAAAAATGTTGAATGGAGATGCCGGGCATCGATCCCGGTGCCTCTCGCATGCAAAGCGAGCGCTCTACCAAGTGAGCTACATCCCCGTGCTTCTCAATCATAGTATTTGTCTATAATTGATAAATATGCAAGATATAATAATAATAATTAATGAAAAAAAATATATTGTATAAACAATATTGAACACAGCAGGAATCATAATCTTTCGGTCAACAGATACACATATGGTTAAGATTGACAATATATAATCGAATAAAAATAAAATTTTGTCTACCGGGCAAATTATTTCTTTTCTTTGATGTCGACAAAGTGTCTTGTTTTTTTTTCTTTTGTTAACTTACTTTTTCATATGTTATCAATCTCTGATAATACTATCGAAAATAATTTCTTTCAAAAAAAAAATACAAGATATCAGACAATTAATGAGTAAAAGTACTACATGCCAAAACATACATCTATATACATATGTTTTTTCTCTATTCTTTTTTCTTAGTCTTGTCCATTCTCTCTCCTTTCCTCTCTCTCTCTCTCTCTCTTTTTCTCGTTCTTGTCCATCCAATGGTTCCATTTCGTGTGATAATAAGATAGGCAAGTTATGCCGATTATAATTGAAATGACAAATATATTTAGTTTCTATGAACTTATCGGAAATTAAAAAAAATAAAAAAACATAAATTCTATTCAACATCTGTGCTTGAATATATTGATTATTTTATGTAGGCCTTGTAGTTGACACCTATTTAGCAAATATTATATTCGATATGATTTATATCTTGAATGGTTTCATTTCACACATCTTCTCTCACGGTGATTGATTGTCATCTTAGTTGTTGCTGTCTGGACTACTTCTTTTTTTATTATATCTGGCATCACTGCAAGTGCCTTGATTTATATGAAATTTAATTCTTAATTGAATATATGTCTGATCATTTCTTTTATTGAATTCATGATAAAGATTATGCAGAATTCTTACATAAAAACAAATGATCTGTTCAATAGCTAAAGCAATTTTGTTATATATATATACATGTCGTACTGAAGTTATAGCATATTAAATAAACAGCAAATAATCATCAATTGATTGATGACATTATAGTGAATGATTGGAAAGTTTTTAGCCACGATGTTTGTTCGTTTTTGACTTGTTAGAAAGTATCAAAAGCTATGAGTGAGAACTAGAATTTTGTCCTCTTTTCGAATATGGCCTTACGAGGCGAACTCTCTCAGCTGTTCGCTACCGATTTCAATGATAATTTACTTATAAATACTACCTAGTGTTCTAATAAAAGCTCTAAAGAGATTTGAGTTTTGACTAAGCTATCGAAAATTTTTTCTAGAGGTCCAGGTTTTCGGAACAAAGTCTCTTCGAGCTATGAAGCTTTCAAAAATCGAAAAGGGTCTATATCTTGAAAGTTTCATATGTCGAAGACACTTTGTTCAAAATTTTTGAATTTTTTTATGGAAGCTAGTCAAGTTGAGTTCCCTATATGTGCATAGTTTCCGATTAAAATTTGAAAATATGAGTTTACCGAAAACTTAGAGCTTCTAGAAAAACACTTCGATGGTTTAGTCAACATGCAAATTCTTTTAGGGTTTTTATGAGAATACTATGAATTATCTATAGACAAAATATCATTGAAATTGAAAGAAAGCAACTAAGGAGATTTTCTTGTTAGAAATTTTGTACCAGTGTTTGTTCGAGAGTAATGAAATAATCTTTGAAAAGTCTCAAAAATTAGTTGGAACGGAACTTATGGCCTGATCTTTTCAGTGAACATGGACCTGTTTGAAAGCATTTCAGACGAGCCAAAAATTATAGATTGCGACTAGAATTTCAATATGGGCTTAGAAATGTTGTGTCTAGTTTTGTTCAAGAGTACTGAGAAACATTTTCAAATACCTGAAAAGTTATTTTTAATAATGAGCCAACAGGTTTTTGATTATCCTATAAGTCCTTTTTCGAGCATACTAAAAATTGTCGATGTCAGTCATTTCGTAGAGCGGACGTTTCTCTACAAAATGAGATATTGAACTAAACTGTATCTTTTATCCAAGCATTTTTTTTTAAGAACTTCATTCAACGTAAAACGGTTATTGTTTTTTCAAAAAATGAATATTTAGGAAAAACGAAAATTGAGGTGCTTTGTCGAAAGATAAAAAAAACCTGCAAATAGTGTACTTTATAGAGTAACTTCTCATGTACAAGTTGATACATAAATAAAAATCCCAACTTTTAGTTTCGAATTACAATAGTGCAAAATACAAACATTTTCCGTCCAAACTAGTACTTTGGACTTTTCAAAGATTATTTCATTACTCTTGAATAAAAACTCAGACGAAATTTCTAAGTTTATATTCGAACAGAACATCTTAATTCATAGCTTTTGATACTTCCCAGCAAGTCAAAAGTGAATAAACATCTTATTTAAAAACTTTCTAATCATCTGTCGAACAAAACATGTAGTTATCAATAATTTTTCACTTTAATAACGTATACATTTAATTTTATAACAATAAATAAAGAAATTCTTTGAAGAGTTTGAGAATTTCATTGTATTGATATTTGTCGTCAGTTTCAGGGGACATTACATTTTCTGATTGATGAAATGGATTCTTAAAAGTGCAACATTCTAATTTGCAATGAGATACTGAACTGCTTTAAATTGACATAGAGAGTTTAAGAAGATTATGATTGGGAGGATAAAAAAGTGACAGGCTTCTATAGAATTTAATCTTTAATTTATTAAATTTATTGAAATGTCGAAACGTATTTTTTGATAGTATGTAGCACATCGAAACTAAATCCTTATCATCGTTTTTTTCTATTAGAGATGGTCAAAAAGAACGCCGGACTTTATAATAAAATCCTGTCAGATCTTGAAAGAAAAACCACTATTTATTTATTCTTATAAAATCAAATATATATATTATTAAAATAAAAAATTAATTATAACTACATATTTATAATATCATCTGTCAATTGATTGTTATTTGCTATTTACTTAATATGTAAAACATTCGACAAACAGTGTAACTTCAATATGACATATAAATATATATATATATATATTGTTTAATCATCGTCTCGTTATGCTTGCCATCCATTATTGTACAACATATAACAGAAATCAATGATTCATAATGAATGAATGAGTCTTTTGACACTTCATTGTCTTTATGTCATCATCAAACAGAAAATTGTTCGATTGACATTATCAAATAATGAGTATGTATAATATGATTTTTGTAAACAAAACAAGACAAACTTAAATATTATGTTTCTTTTGTTCTATTCAATACATATCTGTCTAATGCATAAGTTCTATTAGCTAAATACTACGTAAAACTTAGCAATTATTGTTTTTTTTTTAATAGTCAAATAGTTTTTTTTTTCAAGTTGAAATAAAGATTCTTATTAATGTGTAATTTATAAATAAATATTAATACGAAGAAATAAATTCTTGTTTGATGTTTTTTTTTCTGAATGATTTAGACGATAATGATTGTGTCAGTTTAGTTCATTATTGAAGAACAAATAGATAATTATCAATATTCAGAATCAAAACATTTAAATATGTATTTTTATTTTATTATGTTTGCTGAAATTTTATTGCTCTATAAATGAAAAGATTTTTAATTTTTTTTTTTAACCAGATTGCTTTTGTGATTTAACAGTAAATTTAATTGTAAGTGATGCATACGGCCCAACTTGATCTTGTGCATCCAATTGAATAACAAAATCTCCTGTAGCCATAAAATTAGCAATACTTGATTGAGCATCAGGTAATTCGAGTGGTTCATTCACAATGGACAAAGGTCCAGCAGGAATATTGAATGGACAATTACAATCAATACCAAATTGAGCCATACGTGCAGGACAAGTTTGAGGTTTAAATGATGGTAACATAGTTTTAAGTACAGCACATAAATCTTTATAAGCACATGAACCAACTTCGATACCTTGAACTTTATAGCATCTAATTGGAAGATTAATACCACTTACTGCACGATTAATCTTTAAAGCAGTTTGTATTGTTTCTAATAATGAGTAGAAAATAATATGAAATGATGATATTTTATCTCACAATAAAAAAAAAAGAACAGAAAAGTGAAACTTACTAATTGGTCGTTTGAGATTAGCAATAAAAGTAAGAAAAGCTTGTCCTGGATTAACAATTGGCATTGGAGTAATGTCAACATTAGTAATATCAATGGCAGGTGCCGAATGTACTGTTAATTCTAATTTATTATATTCACCTCGAACATTAACAGTAATAGCAAAGATTACAATAACAATTGAAATTGATGAAAATTTTTGCATGATGTCTGTTGAAAGAGTGCAAAAACAGATAAACGATAGAATAAAGTGTGAATATTGCTTGATATATATATATATATATATATATATATTCAAGAGATTAAAATGAATACGCCTCCGTTTGGATATGGTGTGACAATAATCGCGTATGTAATTTGTTGCAATTGGCGTTAAAGATCAGACCATATATTGCCGCACCAATGTATGGCTTTCGACTTATCTTTTTTTTCTTTCGAAAAATTTTCATGAAAAAAAAACGCAATATTATAGCTCTGAGAATCAAACATATTGTGTCGAGGTTAGTCCAAACTGAACGACTTATCGTATAGGTGCATTCAAAGCACTTACATATGGATGGTACAATATAACAGAGCGATAGTTTTATAATTGGAAAACCTTTTTTTCATGAATAAAATAACCTTATTATAGTTAGTGGATAGAAAATTCATTAATAACTTAAGGTGAAAGATGTTTTGACTTATTCATTTACAAGCTTGTGAAATGATTCTTTGTGTGGATTTCAAACTTGTTGTAGAACATATGAAAATAATTTATTTGACTCATAAATACATTATGTACAGTTATGAACTCAGCACTAATATATACTACTAGATAGATCACAAAGACTTCTCTTGTCTCTCTTTTTTTTTTCAAAATATTTATTAGTTAAATTTTGAAAGATTTTACTTAATTGATGTTCTATTTCTAAAACTATGTATATTATTATAAACTATTGAAAGTAAAACTTGAATCAAGAAATTGAAGTTCATATTTTTCCAAAAGTTTGATTATTATACATAATAGAAGTAAAGTCTTGTGTAATCACTTATTACATTACATATTACAAATTATTTCGCTAAGAAGAAATTGTTAATAAAAGAAATTAGATGAAATGTTTTGTTTTACTTTATCTTCTAAACTTTAACAATATTAGTAGTTAAATATTAACATTACCATACTTGTATTATTGACTGACAATTATATCATCTAAGACGATGAATCTTATGTGTTGAAGTTTAATAAATAATTAAAAAGTAAATTATTACGAAAAAGCTATTAGTGCAATCTCTATGAGATTAAAATGTGTAACAAACTATTATTTTCGTTATTAATTGAAAGAAATGTTTGACAAACTTGTTCAAATTAATAGTCGATGTAATTTTTTATTTTGTTTAATTCGACAGGAAAATATTTTCGTTTGCCTATAAACTTATAGCTACAATAAAAAAAATTATCGCGGATATGGATTGTTAATCAAAGTAAGAATTCTATAATAAAGCAAAAAATGGTGCCCTGAGAAATTATGAGAGATACAACTGGCTGGTTTCGTTCATGACAAGAAGGAGACTGTTGGACTTAATATATCTATCATCCAGTTTCGGTTTATATCCTGTCTTAACCCTTTGAGTCCGGGACTTTTTTTTTAACTAGAAGTATTTAGAATTTCAAATCAATGTTTATCTCTTTGAGAGCGACGGTTCTTTCTCAAGAAATGTTACAGACTTGATCCATGTGCGAACTCATCAAATAATATGCTGATTACCTGAACTATTAAGGGACAACTCATAATGATCAGTAATTATAGATAATCTTCATAGCACAAATATCCTAAATACAAATATTCATGCAATCGATATTATTAAATAACTAAAACACCATGTTTTTCAAAGATATTCAGCGCGCAAAATCCCAGGACGAACATGTTCGTCGCCAAGACTCAAAGGGTTAAACTACAATTAAAATCTTCTTTCCATTACAATGATAATAAATTAGAATTATCGAAAAGGCATGCCTACAAACAAAATCGTAGCTCTTATCATATTTTACATTTTACTTCTATGGTGCAATTTTATTTTATTTTTTCATTAAACATTAATCTTCATTTGATAATACATCGTCTTTTAAGTCGTCAAACATGAGTTCATTTGTTTAAAACTATATATTTATTGACAAATGCTAAAATAAAATATATAATTTTTCAGAACTTTTATTCCTCAAAATACAATTTATATAATACAAAATGAGATTAAACATATAAACATGAAATAATATGTGTTTCATGACAATTGTAAAATAACTTTCATAAGTGAATCTATATATTGCATATCATTATTTAAACGAATAATTGAATCAATCTGAGCAATTTTTGTTTGTAAATATATAAATCTTGTTATAAATTGTGTAAATAAATTTACTGCTCTTTCTTGACCATATTTTTTTATCATATATAACCATAATAATTCAATATAACTGGATTGTATTCTTCTAATATATTTCGATTGTTTATATTCAACTGTATCACTATTTGTTGATAGTAAATTTGTTGTAAAAAATAATATAATTAATAATAATTTAATTATAAGTGGATTAAATGTAACAAATGGAACAAAAGTATTTGATAAAATTTGATACATTGAATGTAAATTTATATTATTAATACAACCAATTGTTTGAATATATGTATAACGAATTTGTGAATGACTAGGTGTTTTTAATAAAGCATAATTAATTGGTAATAAAATACGAATATTTCGTTTTATTAATGTTGCTTGATCATCAATATTTAATTGTTGAAAATCAGGTAAATGTTTAAAATAACTTATTAAATTAATTATAATTGGTTTTTTACGATTATAAAAGTCATGTAAACGTAATGAAAGAACTTCTTGTGGCGCACAATAGTCGACTATACTTGGTTCACTGGTATATTGATCATAACAATGAGTTATATTATTTAGACTTATTCGATCTGTTGAACATAATATTGTTAATGAATTAAAATATTCTGGTTGTCTCAATATTGATATCTGAAGAATATATTTTTTTTGAAAATTTAATAAAACAAATATATTCAAATAATTAACCTGTAGTCGTCGTTTTGTTTGTTTAATTGTTCGATTTTTATTTTTTTCTTGTTCACTACGGATCCATTCCTTTCTCATACCTACAATTTACAACACGATAATAAGTATAAATTATATACATGGATTAATATTTTTCTTTCTATCTAGTAAATTTTTCAAGAGTAAACATAATTTTAGGTCTTCATGATCTGTTATACTCGTGTTTTAAATAAAAACATGAGTTTCATTTTTCTTTTGAAGATAAAATTTCATACAACATACCAATAGCAAAACATTTTTTGATACGACAATATGTGCAAAATCGTCGATTTTCTATTGTTATGTCACAATTTCCATCAAATCGACATTTTAATTCCATCTAAATTTAATTATCAATAAATAAAAAACAAGAAAATTTATTCAATTTATTTACTATATTTTTCAGAGCATTTCGTCGAAAAAAGGCTAGAAAATAAAATAGTATATAAAAACTTATTGTCATTTATATATTTTCTTCTTTTTCCTTTGATTTTTACCTTTACAACTTTCGCATGTAATTCGATCAAAATTGTATCCGAATGCTCTAGCTCCACAAACAGTACATTGTAAATTTTTTTTCTCTGTTTTTTTCATATATTCATTATTATCTAACATTGGAACATCGTACTGAACAAAAATAAATAAATAAAAATAATAATAATAATAATAAATTATAATTGAAACCTTTTTAATCATAGTTGAAACACATAAGTTTGAGTCAAGGAAATATTCATCAAAAGTATCATTATTATTTGGTTCCATTTCATTAATAAAATCCTCTTCAGTTATAGAATAACAATCAATATTCATCTAAAAGACGAAGCTTTTTTTTTCCTTTATAGAAATGCTTTGAGATCACTTATTTCTCAGTAAATGAAAAAAAAACGTTTCTTAATTAATCAAGCGCTCTCAAGACAGAATTTTACCTCACTCATAATATTTTTTCTCTTTTACCGTTCTATAAGATAGGAGAAAATAGCGGCATATCGAGAATATTGGAGACAAAGGGAAAGGGCACAACGATGTCTGTCTCCTTAGCATGTGAAAACATGACGTGTTTCGTCTAGCAATCCATTCTTTCTGCTTCTTTCCTGCATTATACGTGGTCACTGGGTTGATGTCAACAAAAAACAAAATATATTTTCATCTTAGTTAATGCACTCACTTTCCTCCGGCAGCAGAGGTCAATATGAATGAAAAAAAAACAATTAAGAAAAGAAAAAGCACAAGAAAAAGAACATAAGTATAGATCTGCTTCTGCTTACACTTACACAAAAACTGCTTCGTATGAGTTGTCTACTTGAAAAAAAAATAGACAATTCATTTAAAAAAAATCAAATTGAATTTTTTGTCTAACGGCAAGAAGTATGAATTTATCCTAATGTTTTATTGGTATTGTTTATGGAATGTTATTTTTACATTCTCTCTTTATTGACATTTAAGACGCCTTAATCACGATAATGCCTTGTGATCAGATTTTTATGCAAGTTAACGTCTATTGTTTTTTTTGTAATTGTCTATATTCTTCGAGATGAATATATTTATATCGTGTTCGAAATACAGTGATTATTCGACCGAGTTTAGTTTCAATATTTTTTTGCTGCCGTCGACGCTAAGAAGAACTCAAATATTGATTTCGAATAGAGAATTTTATTTCTAACAAGAATTATTGAAGACAAAAATTATTGCTAATGTTCACAAGGACAGAGTCCTTGAAAAACAAAATTCTCAATTATAATTTTATGAGATAGAGCAAATAATTCTCTGTAAAATGAGACATTTTCCAGCTGTCTAAAATGTTTTTTTAATCTAAATAGATGAACTTTAAGGAAGACGCAAAAATTGTGTTTTCACACGAAATAACAGAAACCAATGACTTTTGTGCCTTCCACTAAGTTTATGTATCTTGTTCAAAAGACGTCGTAGAGAAGCTGGAAGCTGTTTCATGTTGTAGAGAATTATTTGTTCTATCTTATAGACTTATAATTAAAAATTTTGTTTTTTAAAGACCCTGTCCTTGGAAACAATAGCAATCATTTTTGTCTTCAATAATTCTTGTTAGAAATAAAATTCTCTATTCAAAATCAACATTTGAATTCTTCTTAGCATTGACGACAGCGGAAAAAAGTTTGAAATAAGACCTGGTTGATTAATTATGTAATCCACTGTATATATTATCATCACCTAATAATTACGAGATCTTCACCTTGAAATGAGTGTTGATTGAATACTTGTGTATGATAATTACACATAATAGTAAACTACAATTAAGTAATGGGATGTGAATGAATGTTTAAACGTCGAAGAAGCGACTTTGTTCTTTTTACTTACCATAACGAGTGGCATTGCAGCACAAAAACGCTTGAAATATTTATAACTTTCATTTCTGAATTACTTTAACTCTTTAATTTTTTATATTAAAATGTTCTAATTTCAATTCTTTATAATAGTGTTAAAGTTTGTGTATGCCAAGACAGTAACTCGGTAGTCTTATTATTACATATAAGAAAACTGTAATAATCTGGTATTACTTGATGATGAAACTTTTCAATTGTCTATCATTTATGCTTTTATTTTGTTTTCAAATGAAAGAGTTCATTGATTTTTATTTGATTGATTCTAATTCGGTACGCTAAAACATGCTGGTTTTTATATTCATTCGTTTTCTTTGAAACTGAAATGTTTACATGTTTGTTTCTATGAGTAATATCGGTTGTTATTCACCTACGAATAATTCTGAATACGACATTAGTATAGAAATTGTGATTTACTTGATGAACCTGTATAATAATAAAAAAATCAAGAAACTTTTTGGTAATAATTAAATGCAATAGAATAAATGCAGTAACCTATTTTTAATTTGATATCAACACAATTATGCATAGTTTTTATTTGTATTTTAATGAATTATTACATTGCTACATTACGCCATTGTTTATTTGAATATTAAAAGAAAACAGGAAATTTAATTGTTTATTCTAAAAACTGCGATGTTGCACCGTAAAGTAAGGAAGAAAAAAAACGTTTTTTTACCCCTTTATATTTCGCTTAATTTTACTGACTCACAGGAAAAAAATGTGAGCCTTATAAATGATTGGTGAAATTGAATAGAAGAAGCCTAAGTATAAATTATAATACGAATATTTTTTTTCTTTTTATTTATATTCAATCAGAATAAACACAAAAACAATCTTGAATTTAGGCTTTTATTGATTTTTGATTCAATTCAGTTTCTGAGTTGAATCAAACGAATACTATCAAATGGAAAAAAAATATTTCATCATTCAACTGAATTCGAATTCAATCTTATCAATTATCTATTCATATCATAGTTAAAATAATAATAATGTCTATCGATCATGCATAAAAAAGAACGAATTCATTCAGTATTTTATATACGAAAGATTTTAAAAAAGTATATAACATAAACGATTTCAATCTATATAGGATCAAAATGAATATAAATATATCAAAGTTCATTGAATAATAAATAGCCTATATTAAGATATATTGTATTATTAAACAAAATATACTCGGTAGAATAAAATTAGCAATAATACAGATTATTATAAGGATAAAATAGAAACAAATTCTATTTAAAATATAAACTTAATATTGCTTTAATAGATAATATCTCTTAAATAGAACATATAATTGATTTGAAGTTTTTTGAATTATGAAATTTGTTTTAGTATGATAGAAATAAGAGGGTGAGACATTATTTTCATATATTTTTTATAGAAAATGTTATTTTGAAAAATTTTCCTATGCTGTTAAATAAGAAATCAAATAATTTCATCAATGAAAAAAAAAACTGTTGTTTTTTTTTCGAAAACAAAAAATTATAAATTGTTATTCAATTCTTTAGAATACAATGCTATCATAGACACATAGTTTTTATTATTATGACAACTAATTCAAATCAGAGTTTAACTGTCAAGAAAAGAATAAACATATCAAACATTTTCCAGAAATGTCAGGATTATTTTCAAGACAGCTCCAATAAGGAAAACATGATTATTTTGAAAGCAAAATGAAGCATACATTATTTATTATTTCGGTACATTACTTAAAAATTTAGATGAATTTCATGAATCAATCGACTGAAAATTGATAAATTATTAATCTTGAAATAGAATTTTGTCTTATCAAAACTATGAATAATAATTCAGAGAAGAAACTTCAACTGTAAATTGACTTATACCTTAAATTAAATATAATATTGCTCAAAAGGAAAAAATCGCCATATCTTTGATTTTTCTTCTACAACACTAAGTATTTAACTCAAATCCCAACAGTACTCGGAACAGTTAATGAAGTTCTCTATCAAATGTATTTTATACAGAAATTTCATATATTACCCAGACGAGGAAAGTTTCTGAAGAATCAAACATGATAGTTTTCAGGTTTGACGAGACTGTATGAAAATTAGTTTTTAAGGGTACTATCGTAAAGAGCACAAAACTCTAAATAAAATGACCAGTTATCCTATTTTTTAGAACCTTCCCTTTAAAAGGTATAAGCATCACAAAAAAATGGAAAAAAAAGCAAAATTTATCATAGCATTACTGGAAAACGCATTTTTTGTTTTGTTTTTTATGATGCTTATAACTTTTAAAGGAAAGGTTCTAGAAAATGGGATAACCGGTCATTTTATTCAGAGTATTGTGCTCTTTACAATGTTACTCTTAAAAATTAATTTTCATACAGTCTCCTTAGACCTGAAAACTACCATGTTTGGTTTTTCAGAAACCTTCCTCTCATAGTTGATCTCTGAAATTTTGGTATGGAATGCATTTGAGAAAGAACTTGATCGCCTATTCAAACTACTATTTGTATTTTAGTTAAATGCTTGGTATCGTAGAAAAAAGTAAAAATATGTTGTTATTATTTTTTTTATCAGTATTGTATTGGTGGATATCTCTGACAAATGACTAAGAAAATAAGTAGAGAGTGCTTGTTTTTCAAGTAAGATCTTATCAATCAACAATTGCTTACCATGAATAGCCATCATGATATTGATATACTTTAGTTGGTGGACAATAAAAAAACCAATATTGCATTGTGAGATCCCTTTTGTTGTTCTACTATGTTACTTCTCGAACGTCTTTTTAATCGATACATGTAAATTGAATTAGATAATTGTTTTAAAATTTATTGTGTTAATCAACTGAAAAAAGTAATAATGTATATTGATGATGTTCAATAGATAAAAAGGAATGTGCTAAATAGAAAATATCATGAAATCTAGCTTAAATACAAGATGACCCAATACATAGCTGCGAACGAACCAGCCCATTCGAAGGCTCTGGTCTAAAAATTGAATATTACCGCCATATTTTGACAAAATGAGCTGATTTTTTCATTACTGATAACTGTGTGTTCATAGTTTATATTAATAAGAAAAACGTTGACAAAAATTGTTTTGAAATGCTACCGTTAACTTCAATGGAAAACAGTCGCCTTCCACGAATTGTAAAAAAAACAATATATATGCTCGTAGTCAAAATAAACGTTGCATTCTTTAACTATTTCATCTCATATTTATACCAAAGATACATGTTTTGTTTCACAGTATGTTCTGAAATCTCAGCTATAAATATCGAGAAATCTACAAATGTTTCGTATGTATTCTGGTGTGACTGGAACTAAAATTCGTTATAATACTTGTCTCGTTATTAATTCGCGCTGTTTTTGAATTCTTGGATAACATTTAGTTAGTCATTGAGATAGTTTGAAGGTGAGAATATCTCTGACTTTGCAAAATTTAAATTAAGCTAGAAATGATAACGAGATAATCATCACAAGAAAATTTCCTCTGAACTACATATGAGCACAACAGACACATTGACAGTTTTTTCAATAAATTCTCACTATTTAGGACTAAAACTTTCAGGGAGTAATGTGTAACAGAACATGCATGTTTGTTGTACATATGAGACTAAACGATAATAACATCTGTTATAATAGTCTTAACACAAAACTATTTCTATTGTTTTATTTGAACAACAAGCGTTCATTCCATTCTTTTCACCTGAAAGAAACGTACAAATACTTTGTTCACCAATTCAAAAACTACAAGTGCTATAAAGTTTCTTATTAACAATCCGTCGAAGTACACAGTAAAATAAAATATGTTGCTATTCAGGTCCAAAAATAGGGTCCGTATACGGTCATTTACGATGAAAATACGATATGTAAACGAACTGTATACCATCATAATACTTGATACAGAAATACAGTCGTATCATAGCGAAATTACGGCACAAATACGACCGTTTACGGTGAAAATATGGTTCCGTGTACAGCGCCGTATTACAATGTCTGGGATTACGAGAAAATACGATTAGTTTACTGCCGTAAAATTGTAGCTTTCTTTACCGTTTACTGATGGAAAACGAACCGTAAATGATATCCGGTTTGATCAATCTGAGTAGTTATAATGTCGCAAACTCTACCGCGAAAATGTGTCGCAGTCGGAATGTGTCGTAGTCTGTCTGTTAACTATTCATTCATCATTTTGTTTTGTGCATACACCTACATATAACCAACTCAATTGAACATACGTAACTTATATGTTTTCGTATGTCTTTTTGCCAGGTTATTTCTGGATTAAACGAATTTGAGATGGCTAGATCACGAAATCTGACCACCTTGAGCTTTAAGAATAGGTATCACTAGTTTGAATTAAACTGAAAAAATAGTAATTATTCGCTTCTGCATTAAAAAAAAGACAAATACGCTGAAGAATAAATACGAACGATATTTTCAAAATATGTCGTATCAAGCACTTCGTGTCTTACTTTAATCTGTCGTATATTATGTCGTAAATTACGACACATGCAACACATTTTATTTTAATGTGCATTATTTTTTTTTCAGAAGTGCTGAATTGTATTTAGGTCAACGGCGACACTTCAACATACTTTTTGTCAACGTTTTTCTTATAAATATGAACTATGAACATACATTTATCAGTGGTGAAAAAATCAGTCCATTTGGTTAAGAAATGGCAGTGATATTCAAGTTTTTCTCGGTAAAGTGACTTTGGGGTCACCCTGAGTCTATACATGAAAGAAAATGCTTGAGTCATTGACTTTGTACAAGAACGTGTCTTTATTGGATTTTTTTAATCAGAAGAATCGTGCTCTGTATAATCAAACCTTTTGACTCCGAAAAAATTCTTTACGATCATTTCGACTTGAGGGGGAGTCCGATGCAGAACTCTACAGAAGAAACATAAGATAACTAAATCTGTATTTCCACCAGAAGTTTAAAGTATTTTGAAGAATGTTAAAAATGTTACAGGAATATTCAGTTTTTTGGAATACTGAATAGTGACTAAGCCTGTGTTTAAGCTTAGAATGGACTTAGTCCATCCCTAGCCTGGAAGCATTTCTTCTTTGAATATTTTTATTGACAATCTAAAGTCGAGGGATTTCCACATATTCTTCAAAAGACACAATTTCATATTGTTTAGAGCCTTCCATAAATTTTATTATCAAAAGAGAAGATATCAATGTTTCTATTTCTCGAGAACAAAAATAACATCAAGGCTGGTTTATACGATTAATTCAACCCAGGTCGAGAAGAACAGAAAAAAATCGCGTTCGGAACGACAGAACGTGCAAAAATGCGTGCGCAATGCGATCGAAACGCATTCAAATGTGATTCGTCGTTCAGAACGCATTGGTGGCGTTCGCGTCGCATCAGTGTAGAGGCTGACTATAGTACGTCCGTTGTGGATACATAACAATGCGATAAATAATATGGGTGTGATATTATATGTATAAAATGAATTTCGATGGTTGAAGATGCAAATAGTCATTTAATTTTTTTTTAATTTTAGATTTTAAATCATCAGCTTTATTATGAAAATATCTTTAAATAATGAAAAAAAAAATTCAAAACAGTCATTAAATCGATACTCGGCTTATTGTAATATTTTCCTTTCAATTTGACGACATATAACTATCCTTTGATTTTTTTTAGATCGTTCACTAAAAATGCAACAAAACAAAAGATATCAACAAAAAATTCTTGCTGCTCGATATTCGATTCATTGTGTGAAAGATAATTCTGTAGAAAAAGGTGAGTTTGTTTTTTTATGCTACACGCACTCGAATTTTTTTTTCTGTAGTTTCTGAACAATTTATTATGACTGAAGTCCAACAAGATTCATTAAGTAATCAAGAATTAATTCGCCTTGAAAATGATCCAAATACACAGACCGAAATCTCGTTGAATGGTATGAATTTTTTATTAAAATGACCATAAGATCGGAAGAATTGTATACCCGAAAAATTTTGGAAAATCTATAACGTGATTTTTATAACACATCTAGAATTTTGTTAACAATGATATCAATTGAAGGATGGGTATCTAATATTACTAATGACTGTCTTTTTCTAGGTAATATTGATCCTGATATAAATGATTTATCAAGTGAAAATGATGCATCATCACATGATTCACAATTGGATTATTCTTCTGATGAAAATGAAGCATCATCACATGATTCACAATCGGATTATTCTTCTGATGAAAATGAAGCAACACATGATCAAATTGAAATCGAGCGTAAAACTTTTCTTCAACAACTGATTGAGTTCATTCGTGATGCTAACCTAAACAAAACAGCAACGTCTTCGTTATTATCTTTGTTAAATTCAAGCAAATCTTATGATGAAATTCCTGTCTCTATAAATCAATTATTAAAACATTTAGATATAAAATTTTATTATGATATTTTTATTTATTGTTCCACATGCTTAACATCATTAAGTAAAATTCAAGATCGTTGTATTAATTGTGAAACTTCTACAAAAAAAACAAATTCTGAATTAATCATTTTTTCAATTGCTGAGGAATTACGACGAGTCGTCCAGTCAAATATTGAATTAATTAAATGGTATTCTTTTCGTGAGAATCAAATGATATCAGATATAGTACTTGGTAGATTAGCCAATCTTTCATTTATGCTATATTTTGTAATTATTTTTCTTTCAGGCGATATTTATAAAGAACAATGTTCAAATAATTCGACATTGACTCTAATGATCACAACAGATGGCAAACCGATGATCAGCTCAAAAGCAACACGTACCAGCGTGTGGCCTGTAAGTGTCTGATAAGTACAATCATGCAATAATCATTTTTTTTAGGTGATGAGTTTTGTAGTTGAAATACCACCTTTTATACGTGAACGCTTGGACAATATGATGTTACTGGGATTATGGCATTCGCCTATTAGTCCACCAACTGATTTATTATTATCAAGAATTGTGTATTTGATTAAATCATTGACCATGACTGGTATTGATATTCTTGTTGGAAAAAATAAGATTAAGAAATTAAAAATTTGGCATTAGACGAATTATTCTTGAACCATCTGGGAATGTTTTACACAGAGACTTTCACAATTATGACTATAAATTAGGATGCATTAAGTCAAGAGTATTTTTATTTTGAACAAGCCCTGTCTGAACTCTTAACACTCTTGTCTCTAGGCTTCATGATATAATTATCTATGAGAAACATGTATATTTTATGTAATTTTATAGCAGATCTGACATTAGTACTGCTTCGTGATAATTTAAAAAATGAATCTTTTCGACATTATCTGCCTCATATTCAATGAAATACTTTGGTGCATAACTCTAGTTGAAAAGTAAGCATTACCGAAGAAATCAGTTATTTAGTAAGCTTTATTTCAACTGCATTAACCATGTTTGATAAGTGATCAAGGAGATGTTAAATTCTTACTCCGATATTTTTATCGATTGCACAATAAATTATCGGGAGAACTCGAAAGAAATTCCTACGTTAAAAAATTACAGATTTGACCATTCATATTTAGCTATGAACTAGTAACGAGTATTCTGGTTTCAATTAGATTTTAATAATTTGCTATGTTTAGTATGACGTAAATTTTCTACCTGACTATCTTGTCATTCTTTTTTGCTAGAGTTTCAGCATTTCGATGTTCATGTCCAACTGATGTCTGGCGATTTACCCGCTCGAGCAAAATGTAACAAATTGAATGGCCACAATGGGTTCTTCGCTTGTTCTCGTTGTTTGTTTGAGGGTCGCCGATGTGCTTCCCCTTGCAAACGACACACTCTATATAGTTGGTCTGACTACTTGCCGTATCGACCTATATCAAGAACTCAAGAACATATTAATCAATGTACTCAACAAGTGTCAGGCAACATTCGAACCTCTTATGGTGTTCTTGGTTCTTCTCCTATATCATCAATTCTTTCTATACCATTACAGTCTACTCTTGATTATTTCCATCTAGCTTTGGAAGTTCATTTACGGTAATTGTTTCATTTTTTACAATGGTGCATTTTTTGAGCTGGTAGAGTATTAACTCGATTAACAATTTGTCAGGAATCTCTCTTATTCGAACAGAAACTATATGTGATGTGTGATAATACTTTTATTGTAGATAGTTTTTATGAGAAATTGATCTTTTTCTTGATACTCACTAAAACATATAGATTAGACTTACTAAAATTGAATTGGCACCATTCAAAGCGAAGGAGTGTGAGGAATATTCGATATCGTGAAGTTCGGATGAGCTCTTGGAAAGATGCCTTCCCATCTAGAATAAAACATAGGAAACATCTTTTATATCTGATTCCACTAACTTAAAGAAATAAAGGATTGAATAGTCAGAAAACACAAGTCGAAGAATAGTATATGAATTCTATTATTCATTTAGAACATTAATGTGTCAGTGGTGTGAAATGATTAAAGGTTATCCAGGTGCTATAGCTTTTATCGATGATTTTTTAAATAGTATCAGTTATCCTCATTCTTTCAATCGAACTCCAAAAGGCTTTCTCAATTATGGCAAGTGGAAGGCGTCGGAACTACGTACGTTTCTTGTATATGTTTCTTTACCTGCATTAGTTCGATTACGATTGTCGATGCCTAAATGTTTTCCAGAAGTATATGTATATCATTTTTCATTATATTTCATATATATTCGTAATCTTCGGCATTTTTCTAATCGTGATGAAATTCGCGAGATGCCCACGTTCATCGAAGAGTATCTGAAGTTGTTTTCATCGTTATACGATCAATGTGCCGAACTATATTCGACACATGCTTTGTATCATTTACATGAACAAGTAGAACAACACGGTGGATTAGCACACCATAGGTAAGTTATCCGCTGTAGAAAGCATTAACTAATTTGCTTTGAGTCTAAACTTTAATATATATTTTGTTCTATTTTTAGCCTTTTTGCAACTGAAAGTTGTCTGAACCATATTGCAAAATTATCTCATGGTTCAATCTCCTTAGGACGGCAAATTTCATACTGGTGGTGCATTCATCGACAAATTAATTCAAGAAAGATGATAAATCGTCCGACGTTGTTTACGAAGAGCGAGCTTATTCTTGATTCATTTTTTGTTTATGATGTTATAGAAAATTATCGTCAAGAATTTGATCTTGTTTATAACCAAACCTTTGGTGAGTTTCCACCTCAATCAATGAAATTTTATTCTCGATATGTACACGGTTTAATTGTATATCATTCAATGTCATATAGTAGAAGAAATAAAAGCAATAGTTTTAGTGTTTTAATTGAAACTAGAAATTTACGTGGTGAACCTATTAACTGTTTTGGACAAATTCTTCTTTATTTCTATGTTAATGGTCGTCCATTTTACTTTGTCAAACAATTCTTCAAATCGAAAAATGAATTCTCTTCTTTAATAAGATCATCACAAGAAAATTCCAAGTGGAATTTTTATCTGAATAAATATTATTCTTTTATTTATCATTCTAAGTCAAGTTTGGTCATATATCCTTGTTCATCTATAGTGTCAAAGTGTATCATATTTCGTTTTGATGATAAATATTCAGTTTGTACACCTGTTGAACTGGAATTGGAACATGATTAGTGGACTATAAATTGATGTTTATTCTTGAATTATATAAATGAATTTTTTTCAGATTGTGGTGATACTCATAGTTTTAACAGTATTCATAGTTTTCTCTATTTGTGGCTGTTTCTCAATAGTACTTTTTAAATATCCTATGGCATATTATTCTGGTTCTCGAACACCTAGTGCTACAAGAAAATCATCTTATACTGGTGTAAGTACTCATTCGAAACCTGTTGATGATTATGAGATTGAAGTGGAAGGCGAAAACGATCTTGATAATGGTGAGTTTCACTTCTTGATAAAGAAAAATTTTTTTTTCATGTGTTGCTGTTTCAGATTATCCGATTATTCGAGATGTACCATTTTACAATAGTCAACAACGTCGTTGCGTTGATTCTCAATCAAATCGAAATACAATTTCTGGTATGAAAAGTCTTCGGTTTTATTTTTACTTAATCCTTTTTTTATGCAGAAAAAGATAGATATTATACACCACAACTGAAGAGAAAACGTGGTTCTGAAGCAATTGATCGTTTTCCATTTGATTCACTTGCTAAACAATTAGAAAATATGCAAACAATGATGTGCGATATGAATCGCAAAGTGGATATGATGATGAAGAAAGAAACAGAAGTTGAGAAACAGATTGAAAATGTCGATAAAAGAATTACTGGACTAGCTCGACAAGTACACAAGGTCAGTTATCTACTTCTTATTTACTCTGAGTAGAATCTTTTTTCCATGACCACTACACTAATCCCTAGACTCTTTTTATTCAAACTTCGATCCAGTCTAACCTTCATTAGGAGCCTCTTTTTTATTTACTTTCGATTTAGTTTATATCTATTTCAAATTGACAAGAAAATAACACCTTTAACTTTTAATTGATTATTTTTTGTTATTCTAGGTGCACGATACTATGATGACTTGATTAATGACAGTTGACTGTTTTTTTTTGTATTGTTTTAGAATCCAACTCCAAGTCCAGTACCGAGCGATGTACCAAAAGTGGTATGTAGTTTTTCATAATCATGTTGTGTGTATGATTAGTGTGCTTTAGATGTATAATGAACGAAATATATTAGCTGGTCCAATCGAGCCTACTCCACTTGGTTTAATGAAACAGCTCATCAATGATTTATTTACGGAAGACGAAATTATACTTGGTTATCATGAAGAAGTTAATGAAAGAACGAACAAAATCAAAGGTAATCGACTGAATTAGATAGTGTGAATATGCTGTAAATTATTTTGTTCTGTTGTAGAAGCCGTGAAGAACTATTACTTTCGTGACGATGATGAACATTTTCGAGTTTTTTGGGATTCCGTTGGACACATAACTCGTGGCAATCAACGACGAGGTCGTTCCTATCGAAAAAAAAAGTAAATAGTTGGCTTATCTACTTTCCCATAATAAAATGTTTCATTTTTATCAAAGGAATGATTTGGAACAACAAAAATTGGTACAGTTAAATACTACAGCTTCAGATATAAATGATGGTGATCAAAACAAGAATTAGCACAAGCAACACGTAATGATTCAAAGAACAAAGTGAAATTTTGAAAAAGTTTTATTTTTTTTTATTGTCATTAGGAAATCACAACTTGATCGAAATTCTTTTTTCTCTATACACTCATTGTGTATTACTTTTTTTCCTCTTCTCATTCTCTCGAACATGTAAATGAAAATGACGTTTTTAGAGTGAAACACGATGTGAAATTATATTTTTCTTTAGACATCACTTGTTTTTATTGTCTATTGTTTTTTTTTGTGATGCCTTTTGGGTGATTTTCCATTAGTTTTTTTCGATTGTGCTCATATCTATGAACATATTTTGTCTTTTGCTGTAAAATATGAAACAATTTGAAATAAATGATGAATCGGATGTATTGATGAACGAGATTTAAATTTGAATGATCATTTATACGACCAATAGAAAGAAACTCTTGAGGGTGTGCCATTAGCGTGCTTATGCACTATGCACGCGTGCAGAACGGAAAAAAAATGCGTTCGGAACGTAGCGAACGCGTGCACAACTACTTATTCCGCACGCGTTCGCGAAATACGTTCCGAACGCATTTTTTATTCGTTCTTCTCGACCTGGGAATTCTGTTTGAGAGAAAAATGATAAACGATGCCCTCTATTTAAAGTAATAAAAATAATAAAAATAATTGACTTATGAACTAACCAATCAGAAAATAGCCGTCTTTTTTCAGGAAGAAAAAAGGTTTTTACTTTCATGTTCACACAAATAACAAAAAAAAACATCCCTAACTATCGATTATGAAATCATTTTCTTTTACTTTTAGTACGCAATTTGCTTTCCTGTCAGAAGTTATATATATAACTTTTTCTTCCTCCCTTCTTTCCCACATCTACCTTGTTATTCAACCAGTCTTTTTTTTCTTTTTTTTGATTCAGTCAACAAGTTTCTCGTGGAGTATTGGTGCTTTTTTTTTCTTCTTCTACACTTTTTAACGTCATTTTTTTTATGATTTCCTTTTTTTTTTCATCAATGCCATGAGCAAAATATTTAACTAAGAACGAGAAGAAGAGAATTTTTAAATGTTTTGAGCACATGCTTTGCTGAGTCACAGAATAAAATAAAATTATACTTGATTCTTTTTATTCACTTATTCATTTGATCGTTGAGTACAATGGTATTGACATCAATAACAATCAATATGAAGGTATAATATATGTAATATAAAGCAAATATAGTTAGAATGATAAATATTATTAATGATCTATTGTTCTCAAATGTATATTTATATATCAAAGAGCACAAAAAAAGAAGAATAAGGCTCGAAACTAATAATAATTTTTTTTATTTTCTATTTAGAAATATATAAAATATTTTCTTTTTTTACTTAGATAATCAATATTTATATAGTATTATTTCAATGGAATCTTTGCAATCAAAACTTTCAGTTAGTGCAATGACAGCTAATCTTCGCATATTTACAGGTGAGTTCTATTTTACAGACAAAAATCATATAAAAAACAAAAAAAAAAAAACTGAAATTTGAATTTTATGTTAATAAAATTTCAAGGATAATGCTAACTGAAAAAAACAAGTGACTTGTTTTTTTGTTCTCATGCATTATCTATTATCGTTATAAAATGCATCGTACGTGTACTATCTAACTTCATATATAAATATATATATATATATATATAAGCTTGATTACACAGATTTAAGTTCGCAGTAGAACAAAGCATTCTTATCTTAGAAAAAAAAACACAAAGGTCAGGATTATGAATCATACATAAATAAAAATAAAGTGGAATTATCTTTATCTTTATGTTTACTTTATTGATAAATATGAAAAGAACATAGCTGATGATCTAAAACATTCGTATGAAGATTTTTTTTTATGATAAATTTTTTTTGTAAATATATATGTTTTTTTTTTTGATAAATAAAAAAAAAATAAAATTTATTATTAATTGCATTATGAAATATAACATAAGAAGAAAAAAAATATTATTTTTAATTGAAAATTTTTTTGGAATTTAATAAAGATAAACATTGTTTATGTTTAAAAAATGAAACTCGTTATCATATTCAGTGTTTTATCGAGATTTTCAACTTTCGCAATGGCGAGCACCTACTTTTGAGAGCATAGACACATAGTACAATAACCACAAACTTCAGGGGGTCCAACCCGATTTTCGTCAAGGTGTGGCCTGTTCAGTTCTCACGCTGAATAAAAACATTGATGATATTATCGTCTGAAGTAAATCTCGATGAATAAGTTTTCGTATTTATGAGCTTTCTTTCGAAGTTATAATTGTTTTCATAGTTTACACAATTTATAAAATTTCGCTCATAAAGAGATTTGAATGTTTTCAAACTATACAAAATTTACAATTCAAAAAAAACCGAAAGCTTTATTCTGAACATAATTATATTGTACAAAGACCACTGATGAAAGTTTCAAAATATTAAAAAGAAGAATCTAAAACAATACATTCCTATTGACAAGACAAAGTCATAATTCATATGAGAAACTTGGGATCGATATTTTGTAAAATATAAATGACTCAACCGCTAGGAAGTATCAAAAGTTATGAGTTATAATACTCTTTTGGAAGATAGATTTACAAGTTTTGTCCTAGTCTTTGATTCGAGACTAACACAATAATCTTTGAAAAGTTCAAAAAATTAGTTTGGACGAAGCTTGTAGACCGACATTTTCAGTGAACAGGATCCGCTTAAGAGCATTTCAGACGAGTTAAAAACTATGGGTCATAACTAGAATTTGAATATGGCTTTAGAAATGTTGTGTCTATTTTGTTCAAGAGTAATGAAGAACTTTTTCAAAAACCTGAAAAATTATTTTTGATAATGAACCCACCGGTTTTTGTTTACTTTATAAGTCCTTTTTCAAAAACATGCCACAAATTATCGGTGTCGATCGTTTTTTACAGCAGACATCTCTTTACAAAATGTGATATTGAACTAAGCTAATTGAGGTACCTTGTCGAAAGACAAAAAAAAACTTCAAATAATGCATTTTGTAAGGTAGTTTTTGACTTACAAACTGATATATAAATAAAGATCCCAACTTTTAGTTTTGAATCATAATAGTGAAAATACAATAATTTTTCGTCCAAACTAATTTTTTTTTGGACTTATTTCACTACTCTCGAACAAATTTTCGAAATCCATATTTGAAAAGAATATAAAACTACAGCTTTTAACTTGTCGGAAATACGTCAAAAGTAAATAAATATCTTGTCCAAAAAACTTTTCAATCATCTGTTAATACTGATACATGAAAATCTTTTATAATTATAACATTATTTTTTTAGAGCCTCGTGGCTTAATTCGTCTTCTTCAATTTATATTCGCAATATTTGCATTTGCTACAGCATGCAGTGGTAGTTCTTCAGTATTGCTCATCAACTCGAGAAACAATTCAATATCTGCATCTTGGTCTTATCCTTATAATTTAAAAAATACACAAATAATATCTGACAACAAACCTGAAAAACCAATATCTAGTGCAAATGATGTAAAACCATCAGCTGAATTTTTTGTATTTACAGGTGTTACATCAATGTTATTATCACTTGGATTTGCTATTGTTTATGTACTTATGGATCAGCGATATCGTAATGATGAACGTTTACCTTTGATTGATTTTATTGTAATATTAATCTGGTCTATCTTTTGGATTGCTGGAAGTGCAGCATGGGCCAAAGGTGTATCAAATATTCGTACGCAAACTAGTTGGGAAAGTATAGCTAAACGTTCGGATTTTTGTTCAGAGACGCTGCCATGCAAAGAAGTTTATTGTGAGTCATGAATTCAATTTTCTTTTTCTTCATTATTATTGTTTTTGTTTTCTAGCTGGTACTTATGGAAGTATAATCGTATCTGTTATATTTGGTTTTTTAAATTTTATACTTTGGGCTGGTAGTGCTTGGTTTGTTTATAAAGAAACAAGACTTTTTAAGAGTGGTACAGCACAACAACAGCAGCAACAAGAATCATCAGAACAACCTAGTAATTTTTCTAATTTTGGTGCACCGACTATACAACAACAATCAGGAATTCGATCACCAAATTCAATGGGTTAAATCGAAAAAAAAAAGCAAATCAATCTCGTACTTTTCTCATAATCATCAAAATCTAATCCAGTTTTTTTTGCGTTTAGGTCAAATTATCATTAGATTTCTTTTTCTTTACTCATTTTCCAATGATCTTGGTTATATGCTTCCCTTATTATATGTCTGTGATTCTCTCCTCATATGCTTTTTGTGAAGGGTCAAACTTTTAAGAAAATATAACAGTGCAAAATCTAGATGTTACTTAAACAGGATGTTTTTCTTCTCACGTGCTTTATTTAATGCATCACTTTTTTCTATTCATTACTCAAAATAAAACTTTGTTTTCTACACTAAATTAATCTGCTGATGATAATAGAACGACAAAATCGATGTATGAACAATTCAATGAATTTTTCTTATTTAATAGAACGAACAATTTTATTATTTTTGTATGTATTTCTATTGGGATTTATTATCAGTCTATAATAGAAATTCTTGATTACTGCTGACAATAAAAAGAATTAGAAATATAATTATATCCAGTAAATTGTATTGTTTCTCAAGAATTAAAATATGATTATGCAGATTGATTTATTCATTCATGGAACGAGCATAAATCTATATTAGTATAAGTTTATTTGAGAAAACAATTCACCTTGCTTGGATCATACTTTATTCTTGGTTAATCTTACAGATGTAAGCATAAAATAAATGCTATAAAATAGGATGTTTAAAATTTCACTAAATCATAGTCTTCGTTTTCAAAATTAAACAACTTTATAATAGATTCCATGTTAAATCAATCGATGATTATGATATTTGATCAGATCACAACCAACATGCAACAACTATAGATGATCTTGATATTGTCAATGATATAAATCTCCTAGGAAATAGCTTCAACAGAGTTCAAACACAACTCAATATAGCAATCAAATACGATAACGAAGTAGATCACCAAGTCAATACTAAGAAAATGCGAGCACTGATAAGATAAAATATAAATAACCTACGTCAATGATTCCAGTCCCTGGATACGACAGCAATCTGAGGGAACTGATCTCTTCCAAACATTTCTCGTCACGGGAATAAAAAAGAAACTATATCGTATCTGGATAGAAACAAGAGGAATCCATCGGACAAAAACTCGAAAAATAATCGTATCCACGCGTAAATACGTCAGAGTCGGATCGTATTCTCGAGAAAACTTACCAGAAATAAACTGTAGATAAAGATGGTATCTGTCAAAAAAGATATGTAAAACTCTTTTCAAATTACAATAGATTTTTGACGATGGAAATCGTTTGATTTGAAGTTAGAGCTCTTTTTTTTACAAGAGTCAAACACAAGGAAATCCTCAGAAATCAACACCTACCTTCCATAAGAATTTGTCGATTTATCAAATGGAAGCTCATGTCATCATGAGGCTAAAAAGGAAAGGTTTTGGACCGTATCTTGTCGTCGTGATCAGACACTGAAATCGTAGTCAGGAACTGTACCGCAAACGGGCAGCTATATTCAGACATAGTTTCCAGATCCAAAAATTGATGGGAACTAAGTTGATACTGATTTAGGAATCCTGCTTCTGGGATTCACTGAACTCGGCCGTTTCTCGTTGTACATCTTTGACCTGAGAACGGATCACTAAAAATTCAATGAATAGGATATTGAATAGGTTAACAATTTCAGGTATCTTCATTTCGTGATGTTGTCTAATAATATAGATATTCAAGCACGAAAATACGAACGATGAAAAGCATCTAGAATTCACAAACAATGTTGATCGTCTTTAAATCTATACTTGCCAAGTTTCATGTCTCCACGGTTTTAATATACGGTTGTGAAACTTACACCATCACAAAGAAACTCGAAAAATCCCATATGCTGTTTCGCCACCAACTGTGATAGGATAATGTTCAATATCGAACATCACCAACGATCGGCAAGATCAGAAAGATTGCTTAACACAAGAAAAATTGGTACAAGAGATTGTTATTATCTGTAAACCTTGTTGGTTCTTAGTCAAATTTTCGGTTCAATAGCAGAGAAAATGTTGAAAGAATAGAAACTCATGTCTACAAAATATGATCGTTACAAACAAGAACTTAATACTAATCGAACGATCGATATATCCTAACATTATAGTTCTTGAAGGCGAAGCAAATAATACTGTACTTGTTGTTAATGAATGAAATTCGATTGATGATAATGATCTATCAAAAAAAGATTCATTTGAAGAAAGTAATGTGTTTTCTATTGATGTTGCTGTTGATCGACTAATTAATTTATCATTAGTATTGTTGTCGATATTGATGTGTATATTCAGGTACTTATAGATCTTTTTCGATTATTAGACTTGTTAATTAACAGTTGATTGTCGACAATGTGAACAATACATATTACATGGATGACCAAATCGTTGTTCAATTAAGGATCTTTAATAAAACAAAAATAAAATATGGAAAATTTCATTACTCAAAAACAAGTTTCAACTATATACCGTAGAAAGTGAGAATATCATCTACACAAATAATTAGAATAATGATAGAAGATCGAGCAAAAGTAACAATGGTAATCCAAGACCAAGACTGTTCAGTTATTAGTGATATATAATTGCATTCTGTAACAATTGCAGCTAAAAGAAAATAATAAAAATATAGAAATATGAATTAAAAAACAGTTAAATAAGTATTTACTAATAGTCGTAGTTGATTCATTTGTTGTTGTTATTGAAGTTGTGTTAGTTGATATGATTGACGTAGTTGATGATGTTGTAGATGAAATTTTTGTTGGATCAACAAATAAATTAAAATAATATTGATTTGATGAATAATTATTATTATCAACTGCTACAGCACAAAATTTTAATGTTTTGTTAAACTGATCAAATGTTGGTGTTCATGCAAGATTAATAGCAAATAATAGAGATGCTAGAATAAATAGAACATTTGTTTTAAGCATTTCAGATGGACTTGATATTATAAATTGTGTAATACTTATATCTACGTTAGTTAGATACTTGGTTCGTGCAACTACCATTGCTGTATAAAGAGTATTGAGGCAAACCGTAATAGTATCACCAGGTAATGCTAAATCAAGTTTAATACCTGTGATAACCGATGCAAGTCTACATGTTGTTGCTGGATTTATTGCATTACATGTACAAAGAAATTGTAATGGAACTGAATTAAGTGTTGTTGTTAAATTTTCAATAAAATCTGCTAATTGAATTCTTACTGCATAATGATCAACCGAAGGTAAATTAATAATATATGTATTATTAACTAAAATGAGTTATGTCGATGCAGAAGGTGCTGGTGATTGACATACATTGAACAACAATAAGTTTTGAAGAAAAAAATTCATTGTAATTTCTTTTTCCGAAGTCAAGTTATTTTTCAACAAAAAAACTACAACTCAATTTCGATTTTCATTTTTCCCTATATGATTGACTATGAAGCAATAACTATTGTGTATATATATCATTTCAATCAAATGCATGACATCCAGAAGATTAAATATATATGAAGCAAAGAAGCAATGGAATTTTGCGAAAATAAAAAAAAGTATCTATCATATTCTAGCCAATGAAAACCAATTTGTTTTTGAAAACTAACGAGAGCCAAAGAACATTTTTTGCTAGATTTCAAAAATAAAACTCCTACTCATATCGAACAAGTATGCTAATAAAATCGTCGGATAATATGGCTCCATATTACGATTATATACGAATTTCGTATACTTCGTACTGGATATATTTTCAAATTAATTTAGCTTGCACATTTCTATTTATTTTTTGTTTGGTTGCTTTGATAAATAAATACAGATATGAAAGTATTAGCTTAGCACGTTTACGATAATTGATTCCTATTTTAACTCTTCATTTGATAATAGAGACAATGTAGAACAATTTTACATGTCTTAATACTTGAACATTATTATTCTTTAGGATATTGCTTTGATATGACACATAGTTCAAATAGAAAAAAAAATAATCATAATTCGAAAAATGATCCTCTTCAGCATAAATATATGAGGAGAGAATTTTGTCGTTAAGGATAAAAAAGCTTCTTTTCCTTTCTCTTATACTATTTGAAATTCATTTATACATCATTTCATGGATAGTAGAATCCACAATACATGTCTGTTTATATTAGATTTTTATTCACATTATATATTGATTTATTATTTATTTATTTAAAAATGGCGCATTTCGATAATCCTATAAGAGTATCAATATTTCAATCTTCAAATGGAGAACACGTCCATACGTTTTTTTTTTTCGAAAAGCGAAAAATGTCTCCCCTAGTCAATAAGATTCACAAATGATCAAACACCCTCTGATTAATCATTGATGAAGTCACAGTTTTGAAGAAAGAAGTCAATTTGAAAAAAAATTCTCTTGATCTAATTTCTCGTGCTCTCTATAGAAACAATACTAGTCACACACTTGTTGCATGCAACATTAGTGTATACCATAATAACTTGGTAAATAAAGTGTGTCTAAGAAGCACGAGCAGTTGGTTAAAAAGAATTCTCACTCAGATTAACTTCTCTCTTCAAAGCTATAACTTCATCCTTGATTAATTACAGTATACTTGATCAAGTATGAGCCTTATTGATTACAGAAAACATTTTTTTTCTGCTTCTGAAAAAAGAAACGCATAGACATGTTCTCATGTGAAAGTTGAAAATGATAACATAAAATATTTTTGTCCTTAGAAGTTATAGAAATGTACTTTTTTCGAATAAATCAACATATCGTGTTAATACAATACCATTTATAAATAAATGTATTGTTGATTCTACTACCTAAGCAATGATGTACAAATAAAATTAAAATAACATAAGAGAAGAAGAAAAAGAAGAACAACGATTAAAGATAGAAGTTCGTTTTCGTCATGAAAGAATTTGACCTTTTTTGTCTTCACACACATACGTTAATACTAAATGATATTGTAAAAATATAAATCTAAATTTTTTTTTCTAATAATCAGATCATTTGTTCAATCAATGCCATTTATACGAATAATCTTCCTTTGATGTTACTCTAAAGTGCAGATTTCGAATTACAGATTCTGTATGTACATTACCTAATTCAATCATATCATAGTTTTTACTAGAGTATACCATTCAATTTTTAAAAAAATCAATCCATTCGAACAAAATCAATTGATAGTTCACCCTTGAACACATTCCACTGTCGAGAAAAATTGATTGAATTATAGTTTGGAAAACTGTAGAACGTTGTATAATACGAGATGTCGCTCTGGATTTGATAATAATTGGCTCTTATATTCTATTGAATTTTACCATTATTAGCAAATCTCTTTTTTCTTACTGCGACATTATATGTAAAATAATCCTAAATATGACTGATGATAATGTAAGTGTATCTTATATTTATTGATCTAAATTTATACTACTGTTTGTCGTTTTTTTTTTATCATGAAGTTGAATCAAATAACAGATGGTCTTAAATCAATGCAATTCGATGATGATGAAGAAGCATCAAAATATTTTATTAATTATATAAGTGATGATCCCAATAGTCTTAATAATAATTGTGATGAACATGACGATGATTATTTAAAAAACGATAATAATAATATTGATATGTCTTTATTATCAAATAGTCTTCTTATAACTTCTGTACCTCAAGATTTATTTACGAATCAACAAATGAAAGTAAAATAATATATTCTTCTTTTATAATTTTATTTAAGAATATTATTATTTATTTATAAAAAAAAAAGGATGAATTCGAACAATTATTTCGAGTTTATGATTCTCAAATTAATGTAATTTATCTTAAATGTTTTCAACGTGTACGTATAACATTTACATCCTCACATAATGCTTTACAAGCTCGATTACATCTTCACAAATATCCATTTCATGGTGCAATACTAAATACATATTTTGCTCGTGTAAGTTAATAATTCAGTTCTTCTCGTTTTTTTTTTTCGTCTATAGATTTTATATTATTCTAGCCAATTGTTTTTCGTGGTACAAATCCTGATACACATTTACATCCACCTGAACCTGACAAACTTTATCTTATATCACCACCAGCTAGTCCACCAGATGATTGGGAACAAAATATTGAAAAGCCACCAAGTGTTGATATGAATCTAATTGCAGCTATATCACAATTACGACGTAGTAAATCATTATAAAAGACCTTGTCGGATTTGGTGAACTATCTTGAACTAGGATCTCATGTATGTAGTTTTGTAGATTAACATGCGTTGCATCGAATTGTATATAAGAAATCAAGTTTAATTGAAATTTTGATGTGTTGAGAGTCTGTTCGACTCTGTTTCATAGAACAAGAAACTTTTTCAAAAACTACACACTATCGAGCTGATTGTCAAATTGCAAGATTGTCTCTAGAATAGCCTGTCAATTATTTAGGCTAGCATCCATGATGAACTGATATAAATAACTCCTTTATAAACGGAAAAAAAATTTGACTTCTGGGTCCGGATGTGGGAATGCAGAGAATATGGAAAAAATTATTATTCAAATGAACAGGAGATATCTATAGACTCTTCTAAATTTTCATGAATAAATCAAGCCTAGATACTTGGAACAATAATTTGAAAACGAAATAATAAAAATAACAGACCTTCTTCCTACAACTCTATACCAGTACTATGCGTCCAGGGATCTAGAGACCAAAAAATTTTTTCCATTTATAAAGGAGTTATTTATATCAGTTCATCATGGATGTTGAGCTAAATAATTGACAGGCTATTCTAGGGACAATCTGACACGTTGACAATGAGTTCCTACTGTTCCAAAAGACATTATCTGTGAAATACATAGAGCTCATTAATATGCAATTTTTGAGAAAGTTTCTTGTTCTATGAAACAGTCGAACACGTCAAAATGTCAAGTAGTCAAGAAATAATCTAGATCTAAGAAAACGGACCATTTTTCAAGCAATGATGAAAACTACTGTTTATAGAAAATCAAAGAGCACCTGAAAATATATCGAAACAGAAATTCCACAATTTTATCTTAGGAACCATTCTCAAGGATTATAGCCAGTATATAGACTGTCATCACATCAAAACTTTCATAAAACTTGAATTCTAACATACTATTCGATGCATGGCAAATTGTTCTACAAAACCATATCGATGGTATTCTGTCTCTAGATAGGTCACGAAATCCAGTAATGTCCTTTTCTAAATATAAATTATTGTTTTCTAGATGAATCTCATGAATCATTACCACGTGAACATATTTTGAATGCTCCATCGATCGTCGTTGATACATGTGAGGATTCTAATGTTGAAATAAATGAAAGTCTTCGAAAAAAATTAATCAAACCATCATTTGTACCTACTAAACGACCACGAAATAATCAAACTGATGAACATATTTAATAATTAAAAATACAAAAATAAAAAATAAATTATTCATTTTACAAAGTATTGTGTTGAATAAAGTAATATTATATATATATGTATACATATAGAGAGAGATTTTATCTATCAAAAACTTGGACTTTTTCGATAGTACTAACCTACTATGCAAATAAGACATATGGCAATACTCAGTAAAAAAGCAACAATTAAATAAAAAATATGATGTTTGCTTTGAAGTACAAATAATAGATTGATGAAAAGCGTAAGTTATTTTTCATTCTATCAACTTGACCTGTATAGAAATTGCCTAATATAATTAAATTTCTTCCATACACTTGTTTAAGATCAATATTATGTAAAATTTCAAATGTTGAACAATTTTCATGCCAAAATTCAACTTCAACAATCTAAAATAAAGAATTTTTTTTGACGCTATCAAATCGATATATCTTTTCTTTTTTATACCAAACCATAAGAAAAGTTAAAAAATGTTGAATTTAATAATGGTATTTCTAATCGTCCATAAATAATAACAATAATACAATATCGACTAATACATAAGTCAATAAGATTTTTACTAAATACATGTAATGTATGTTTATATGTATGTGTGGTAATGATTATTAAATCTGAATATAAAAATGATTGTTTCACATTAAATTAATCATTTGATCGTAATAGATCAATCCAACATGACATAAAAGTAAATCCTGTACGGTAACAAGAAATTGATTTAATACATGATCATGTTTCATTCTCATGAGTTAAACATTTATCAAGTGGTCATGTAACATATTTTTCATCAATTTGTGTTGTATTATTTTTGAAATTCGACATAAAATTATAATATAATCTATGTTTTTTTAATCATTGATTTCGCTACGGTTTTTAAAGTGATGAATTAATACTTAAGTTTAATTTATCTGTCAAATAAGTAAAGAATATAATTATTTGTACATTATCTGGACGAATAAAATTAGTAAAAGGACGTAAATCGAGTTCAAGATAATAAATCAACATAAATACAATTAAGAAATTTAAAAAGAATAGCACCATTTTTAATAATATTGAATAGTATATCAATATATATGGTGAAATAATATAGTGAAATTGGATAGACCCAATGTGAATGGAAGTTTTTGATTAAAACATGTAAGTTTCCAATATATATTCAAAGGATCAACTTCGCATTGCGTATGATTATCAACGAAATGGAATTTACATCTGTTTCAACTAAATGATTATAAAGCAAAAATTCATCGTTTCATTTGAATCTATAGTCAATAGACAATAAAACCAATAAAGAAAATAAATAATTAGTTGAATAAAATACATTTGATTAAAATTTTGTTACATATAAGAAATTTCATTAAAACTAAGCTTTTGATATATTTATTTTTGTGGTAAATTGACAAATAAATGATGATTATTGTTAACAATAATCGGAAATATAAGTTCAACAAAAAAAAAAAAATTGTTTTCAAGTCAAGTAGGTTATCTGTATCGCATTGTGATTGGTAGTTGTTCAAGTCTGAGAACCATTGGTTATAAATAACATATTGAGTTTTTAATATTGTTCGATGTTTCGAATCGTCATTGATATAGTCCGTAATCAGATAGGAGTAGACAAGTAAACATGATAATCTTAATTGAATATCTTATTCTGTCATATCTTATTTTTGCAGTATCTCCAACACTTCAAGGCATTTGGAATACTTTAAATAAGTTTTAGAAACTTATTCTTCGAATTTTTATGCATGTGAGCTGTTTCTGCAAAATAATCAAACATAGTGTTCTTATATTAATAAAGATAGCAGTAGAACTAAATAAAATGATCGATTAGATTTTGTAGAAGTTATATTCCGTTGAATCTTTTAGCTAACGAAACTAATTTTCAATAAATTATCAAAAAATAAACGTACTCTTTCAAACAAATCTTTTCCGAAAATTTTCTCATTAATATAAGATCTACTTTAATTATTTTTTATTTGAAATAGAAAAATCTCGAGAATAAAACATCGTCCTTCGAATAGGACGTAAGAAAAATTTTCCATAATTCCAACCGCATTTCTCGTATAAACAAGTACTCTAATTAATTTACAATAGTACAATCATAAAAATTTTGAAACAAATAACATACTGTCTTTTTCAATTTATCATATCTCTCATGATTAGAGATGCGTAAGACCAAATTTTTTCGGTCCCAGTCTCGTTCAGTCGCAGTAACTATTTTATTCACCAGTCTCAGTGATAGTCCTGGCAACTTCTTTTCTAGTAGTCCCAATCTCAGTAAGTTCTCTTTCTCATGGTCACACACATCTCTGTTCATGATTCGTTGGTTTATATAAAATCTTGTCCTCTAAAGTGAATGCTGTTCAAATGTTGCAAAGCCTGGGTTTTTTTAAAGCATAATTTGTAAAATACAAATGATTGCTTTTCTCGTCATATATGGCAGTAAATTAAAATTGATTTGATAAGAAATAAACTCGGATGTTTTTGAATGACACATTATTATAAGAACGTTTTCGACAAGTTGCAAAATAATACTTCTCTTCATATCTACAATATATCGATTGACTGCATTTATCAAAAAAAAAAACATTTATTTTTTCTTTGTATATAGGAGAAAAAAAAAACATTGTGTCATGGATGATTTCATGACACTCGGTGTCTAAAAGAAAACTGTTCAATTTAATTGATAACATCAGTTTTAATAAATGGATTATAAAATGTTAAATAAGCTTGTAAAATTTTTGATAATGGATTTAATTTTACAATATCATTTGGATATGTTTGAATTTCTTTTTTAATTTTAATTCGACAAATAGCTTTTAAAGTGAGTGCTTGTATACGTAATTCATTTAATTTACTTTTAATTTGTGCCATATATAAAAGTGAATTTTGCGCATCCATTAATAGTTGTTGATCTAATTCAGTTGTTGGTGATGATGATGATGCTGAAGATAGAAATGTATAATCAAGACGAAGATTTGGACGAAATATTAATTTATCTAGTGGTATTTCACCATTTTCAATCATTGCTATTAAATAACGTTCAAGACGTTTTTGAATTGTTTGTTGTGCAAGATTTGTATTACGTTGTTCACATGCACGTAAAACATCATAAAATAAAAATATACACCATGATAATGATCGTATTGTTGGATCAAATATATCTTTAAGACGATATTTAAATAAAAATTCTTTACATGCTAATATATCAAATAATTTATATTGTTTTTTAGCAAGTAAATTTGGTTCACGCATACCATATCGTGTTAATTTACTTTCTTTACGTAATAATAATAAATGTAAACGATGTAATCGTGAAAAATTTGCTTGTTCATATGTTGATAAATACATAAGATCAAGTGGTGTACCACCAGATTGATTTCGAATATTTAAACATGAATCAGGTGAACTATTAATAATAAATTCAAAAAGAGGATCAGTTATTGCTGATTGACATGCAATATGAAGACATGTTTGACCATTATTATCTTGTAAATCAAAACGTGCACCATGTTTTATTAAAACATCAAGCATAGATATTGAATAATTTTTATTTATAAATATTGAAAGTGGTGTTTGATTATTATATTTTGCTAAACGTTCATTGATATCAAAGCCATATCTACACATTAATTCTAACTCTTTCATATGAATTGGTTCGTAAAAATGAAGATCTAAATGTAAAGATAAAAATTGAGTACTAACAATGAAAATAAAAATCTTTGCTTCAGAGAAAATTATTTGTCGTGTTTCATTTCGATAGAATAATTTAAAATTTAAAATTTCTTTTTTTTTTGCTGAAGATCATTCTTAATTTTGATTGCTATTGGAACTAATCTCATTTTTAATATTGCTTCTCTGAAAAGATGATACAAGTTGAATAATTTCTATCAAAGTAAGCATTACTTTTTCGTAATGACTATCCCAGTTTAAAGAAATTTAATCTCAGCAAAAGTCTCCTTGTGTACATTTCTAATCTTCTAGAATGATCAAAACTTGCTGCAGCTGACAACTTTGATAAAACTTCTAATTATTACTCTATAACAAAACAAGTCATAATTAATAAACTCGTCATCAATGGATATTTTTTTTTTGTAAGAATTTAGTAATTTTTAGTTTAGTAAAAAGGATAACATTGTAAAGAAAATCGAATTTAAGATTTTGGTTCATACGGTTGTATTTAGAGAATATTTTATATATTTCTAAAAATATTTACGAATCTTTTATAAAATTTTTTCGTTTTTGGTTATAAGAAAAAATACTTTCGCTGTAATATTATGTATTAAAATTCAGAAAAATATAATAAAGATGTTATTCATATAAATTAATTATGTTTGATGTTCTGTAGAAATTTCAAACGAATTTGATGCTTAAAATTAGTGAAGCTTAAGTCTTAGTTATTTATTCTATTTTTATGATCTAAGCTATTCTTATTTTATTGCTTTCATTTTCTAGCATCCCATCAATATGAGATCTACTTACGAGGGAACTACCCGAATTGATACCTGCTGCTGTTTAAACTCATATTGGATTCATAAGAAGGTCCTAGTAAGATGAGAAAAATCCTGAAAGAGTTTGTACCCTTTGACCTCTGAAGTCGAGTTATGACCGGAGTCATCAGACCTATATATGTGCAAAATTTCAGATCGACACTCCATTATTTGATTTTTCGGTGAATGCCTAAAGCTGAATCGAAAGTTCAGTGAAAAGGTCATAATTCAGCTTTAGAGACTCATGGGCACGAATCCTTTTAGAATTTTTCTAGTCTTACTGAGAAATCTTTGTGGATCCAATATCAGCTCAAACAGAGGATATCAATTTGGATAGTTTTCTTGTTGGTGATATTGTAAAATATTCTATTGTTAACAATAAATAAATTTATATTCTTTTTTTTATTGAATAATACTTACCAAGAGTAGCTCCCTTTTCCACAAGTTTTTCAAGTATATCTTGTGTTTGTGAGCATACACTAGTATGTATATGTTTACTAGTAATTAATAGATATTCGGCTTTTAAATTTCGATTTAAACGATTATCTAATTGTCGACAATCACCTGTTTGTAAACATCGAAGAAGTAAACGATCTAAACCGGGATAAATTTCGTCAACATTTCGCGCATTAATTGTTCGACCATTAATACGAAAATTAATTAATTGAGCAAGTAAAGAATCAGGTGGTGTTGGTATATGATCTAATGGTTGAATTGATCGACTACGTCTTACTGGTAATGCATGTCTTCTTCTAGCAGATGATACAAAAACAATTTCAGAAGACATGACTTAGAAATTGAAGTATAGCAATGAAACAACAATATAATCTGCACGAATGTTTCTTTTTTTTTCTCTCTCTCACTTATTTAAAGTCCATAGTTTCATAAACAAACTGTTGTTAACAAACAGAAATCGCAAAAAAAAAACTTTGTTTTTAATGTATACATTCATTACATTGAAATGAAAAAAAAAATCAAAACATGTGAATAACATATAACGTTGATGAGTGACGAAAATAAATATGAACAAGATGATACTTGAAAACCTTGTATTTTCAAGATGTATTCAGTCCATTTAAATAAACACTTTTGTCAAGACTTCTGAAAAAGCATGTCAGTAAAAAAAAAATAAAAATATTTTTTAATTGAAAAATGATTGACAAATGTTGCACGCGAACTTTGAAGCAATTTCAACTTTTTGAATTTATGATTAAAACTGAGTTACTTCTTCCACCAATGAATTTTTTTATTATTTATATTTAAAGCTATAGAAATGAGTCTTAAAAATAATAAATACATGAAAAGAAAATATTCTACATTCTCTCTGAAATAATATGTTTGATTAATTTATAAAAGACAAAATTTATTCAGTAGCAGATTTAGAGAATCGCTTCTTTCTTCTGAGCAATTTTTCTTTGTAGAAAACATTCAAAAGATATGACGATACAATCTTTAATTCGACTGATAAAACATCTTTTGTAACTATGATCGTTTCTGTTTATCAAAATTCGAAATCTGCCATTGAATTCATTTATACTAATTATGTTGTCAAACAATTTCATCATAAATTAAAATTTCTATGCCATTTGTTAAATACATATTTATTCAGAATGTCATGATTATTAAAAGTTTTGTTGTTATAATTTAATAAATAACGAATATAAATCTGTGAGATACATTAAGATGTGTGCATCAATAAATATGTTTTTCTTTCTTTTTATACTCTAACACCGAACAATCAAGGAAGTAATGGGAGAACAATCACCATACGTACTGACTTATATCTACTTACATTGATGAGAAATAAAAGTAACGAAAAAAACAAAGAGAAACCAACTAAATGTAGAATACAACATTAACGCAAATGAATTGCACATTAGTTAATCGATTTTTTTTTTTATATCATAAAAAATAAAATGGAATAAATATGTATATGTTAATAAACGGAGTCATTTTTTTTTTCTTGTAAGAACTTTCCAATACGCGCATGAACAGAAAAAAAAAGAAAAGAAAGTGACGAACAAACAACAATCAAATAAATGTTCAAGACAAGACTCACAACAAAAAAAAAGAGAGAACAGACGAATATAAATAGACAAACAGAATAACCATGGGTAAGAAAGGAAAATGCGCGTATGTATGTTCAATAAATATTGTTTAATCGCAACCGGGTTGATTTTTTGTCGTCATTATAAGTGCTACGATCAGACCATAAAGACCAAGTACTTCAGCGAAAATTAAAATTAAAATCATGCCAACATACAATCTAAATAAAAAGACAATAAAATTTATTGTTAACAGAAAAATCGGTGTTTTTTTTTATTCACCGTGGTTGTTGAGCAGTTCCTCGTACACCAGCGTCACCGACAATACCAACAGCAAAACCGGCGGCTAAACCACTTAAACCGACTGATAAACCAGCGCCCAATTGAAGAAATGCTCTATAGATATTCAACATTCAAATATAAAAATATATTCATCTATAGATTATTCTCACTTGTAAAGACCATAATTGTCAGTAGCAATATTATTGGCAATAAGTACAGCAACGACTAGACCATAAATAGCAATAATACCAGCCATAACCACAGGAATGACACTTTTCATAATAAATTCTGGTCTCATAACGGCCATTGCTGATATACCACAACCTGATTTAGCTGTACCATAAGCAGCACCCAATGCTTTAAACATGAAAAAAGATTAAGTTTATGAAAAATAAATAATTAAATAATACACATACCACTAAATACAACAGCTGCAGTGGCACCCATAGAGCCAAAAAAAGCCGAATAGGCAGGGCATTTTTCTGTTACACTTGAAGGCATATTGATGACAATGAAAAAAAAATACTAAGAGATTTATGTTATGAATATAAAGAATGGAAGGATCAAAGATCTATAAATAGACAATAAAACATTTTCCAATAATATTCAAAGATTTAGGCCATATTGACTAATACAACACTATACTTAAAAAGAAAAAAAAACCATCACTTCTGCATATATATATTCGAACTAAAAAATATATACACCTTTTTTTTTTATTCTTCTTCACTAGTTACTGATGATAAAGATAAATATCACATTTCGTCATGAAGAGAAATGTTTCGCTTATCAGTTTTCTTGCCTCTGGTTATTCGACAACATCTTATTTTGAAGGCTGATTTCGAGTTAAAACTAAACGAAAAACGTGATGCGAACATCACGATGATGATGTAGTGGAGAAAAAAACCCTATATCTATATTCAGCTGCTCTATAGAATGTTTTGAAAACCTGAAATTTTCGTATTATTCTATCGCGAATAAATGTACTAAATAATAACGACAATTATAAGTCAGAATAATGTCTAGGAGAAATAAGGCGTATCCTGGTTTTGTTTTTAATTGAAAATAAATATTTAAAACCATTGCCGGAACGAAGAGGTTAATGCAGTAAAGGATAAGATGTACTTTCGAAAATACAAAAAATACTTCGAATTGAAATATTAATTTGTAATTAATGAAGGAATTATATCAGTTAAAATTATTTTAAATAAGTCAAAAAAACAAAAAATAAAGATAAATATAAACGAGCTAAATTCGATAACCAGTCTTATTTTTTGATCATTTCTCAGCTAATTTTTTTTATTTTTCATTTGATCGAAAATTAATCAATAAATGATTGTCTTAATATTCTTATCAATAAATAAATGACTAAATAGAAGTTCACTGAAAGAACATTACTTGAAACTATCACAAATATAAAAATTAATTTTTTTTTCTTATCTGCAATTTTTTCGTGCATCAACACGATGTATACACTTCCTTACTTTCGTTCTGTGCTATGTTTGTATCGTGTAGAAGAACCAATTTATTTTGCAAAGTAGGAAAGCGCAACATGTCGTTACGCATCATAAATAATGGAGAAATTTTTTCGAAAATTGACGAAAATTCTCATAAAACTTTCCAAAGAAAGAGGGTATACTCTCTCTTGCAATCCTTTTTACTCCTGACGATCGCGCCACTACTATTTGACATACTGGTTCTAATTATAAATAAAATTACATCTACGTAGAAAATATATAAAAGAATTTTGGATGAATTAATAGATTCGGCTGACGCGTCACAAATGACAGAAAACAACAAATAAAAAAACAGAGGCATGAATCAAAGAAAAAAAAATAGTCTTTTATCCATTGTGGATTTGTTCATTGACTCTCTCCATTTACATTCATTATAATATAAATAAAAATTATGTAAAAAAAATATAAAAAATATGAGAAAAGAAAATTTTTCTATTTTATTATTATAATATTTTGAAGAATAAATATAAGACTTCAAAAGAGAGGATTGATGAAAGATTTTCATTGGTCAACATATTTGTTACTGTCTTTTCTTATACAACTGGTTTTTCTTTTATCGAATCAATTTTAAAGAAAATTTAATTGTTCTATCTTATAAGGGAGCATTTTCAATTGATCAATCGCTTTCGACTTTGAACTTTGTGCACAGGATAGATTCCAGCGAGATATAAAAAATCTCAAAAAGATAAGTCCTTTTAGATCTTCTATTCACAGTTATAGATCTTTTTATTAGAGTTTTAGCTTCTGGCTTGGTAGACGTCAACAAATTGAATAACACTATTTCGATCTAAGATTTTCCTTATAGATAAGTCTATTTATCAGTAGAATCCTCTGAAAATTTCAGCTTAAGAATAGTTTATTTTTGAGATATTAAAGTCCTAAAAAACAGAAAATTTTAGCATCTTTCATGGAATATGAGTGATTTTTGGAACTATTCTTTTGAGCTGGAATTTTCAGATCATTCTACTAACAAATAGACTCATCTGTGGGCAAAATCATAGGTCGAAATACTATCCTTCAAGTTGTTGATATATACTTAGTCAGACGCTAAAATTCTAATAAAATGTCTATAATTCTGGGTGGAAGGTGTAAGGAGTCTTATCCTTTTGAAGTTTTTTATATCTCATTGTAGTCTACCTTATGTACAGAGTTCGAATCCAAAAGTGATTAATAGATGTGTAAATTTTGAATTGCTTATTTCTTTTAAAAGAGTTATCATTTCGAAAGAAACTATTCATTAGTGTTTTAGTAAAATCACTTTATCAATTATCAATTAAAAGCATGCGAGTTTTTAATTCTATAGGAAAAAAAAGAAACAAAATTGAACCATGTACCGAAAATTTTCTTATAATTAATTTCAAACGAAAATAATATGAAACAATCATTGGTAAATATAACGTGAACAATATTTCTTAGTGTACAGCTGATATCAGCCTCTGCCCGCACATATCACAAATAATTCTATCACATTTCATTTTTGTAATTTCACTGTATAAATTTTATTATTTAATATTTTTAATAAACAATCTAATAAAATTTTTATTTTTTATTTATTTAATTCTTTTTTTTTGAATTAGATTTTGTAATTATATTGATGATCAACATGATGTCTAGTCCAGCACGTCCAATGGATCTTGATGAAGATGATTATTTTCCATTAGCAAATTTTCAATGTCGAACATCATCTGATGGTCATCATACACCTATAACAAAAATGATTTCTTCACATGATCACCATTTTCAACAAACACCAAGATTTTATCGTATTGTTCATAATCCATTTGATCCTCCAACATCAGCTCATCTTAAAGAACGTCTTGCTAGTCCAAGTATATTTCGTGTACTTTCACAAAATGATGATAATGATAAAGTAAAATAAAAAAAAAAGAACAATTTGAAAGAAATCAATCTGATGATTAAATTGTTGTTTTTTTAGACAAGTA